ATACATTTGTGTTGGTGCTGATGATTCTTGACTAATCCTGTTTCAATTACAAATTGGTTATGTTTTTCAAATAAAACTCTGGCACTTACATTCAGGGCTCATAAGTCAAATGCACTCACACACACACACATACCAAAACACACACATTAAAGCCAATCCCTACTACACTATTTAATACTCCATACTGAGATGTCACACTTTCTAAACACATTCTCTCCAACTAATCAAATATTTAAAATCAAGAAGACAAAAAAATTTGAAGACAAGAAAATAAAGAGTAACATACCCACATGTTGTTCATATCACAAACTTGAGCTGCAGTAGTCTCAAGACATAGTTACTGAACCTAATAACTTTCAAAATTCTCATTTACTCATCAGTCTGGGGTATTATGACTAGTAACTTGTATCTTTTTAAAAATATGGACATTTCAAGGAATTTAATTTTGCAGGGATTGTATTTTATTTTTAGTTTTATGTGTTAATTTAGTGACAATCCTTGAAAGCAAATCCATACCTTTTTCTTCAACTCCAGAATAAAGATCTGACTATATAATCAACCTAGCAGAGCTTCTGGATCACAAAGATAAATTGTTTTCCCATAATTTGAATTTATCAGAGACAGATATCAAAACCTGATCAACTATAAGAGCCAGCAGGTTTTTGGTTGGTTTCCATGAACTCACAACTCCACATGGGCACAGGTAGATAAAATAGGATCATTAGAAGCTTTGCCTCAAATTAACAACTTTTTAAAGATAGGAAATTACTCTCTTCGCAACTACAAGCTTTTATTAATAACTGGGGAAGTCTGTATATAATTAATGATAACTAAAAAAGTTACTTGTTCCTTCTGAAATACTTTCAGGAATAATTTGTATAGTCTCCATATATTTTATTATACAGTTCTATTCTAAGAATTCCTTAAGATGTATTTTAAAATTATTTGAGTTTTTATTAAAAAATGTTTTTTTAAAAAGGTCTTTGTTGACTGACCTTTAAAAATAAATTGAGTGAAAATCAATATATTAACTTAGTTAATAACAAAGAAATATTGTAGTTCATACAATGGTCACTAACATAATGCCCAAGGAAGAAAATATGTGAAAGAGAATGAAAAAGAATGTGTATGAAAAATAATTAACTTAAAACTGTTCTCCTTTATCTGTAATGAAAATGAAATAGTATGTTCACCCCCCAATACATCAAAAAAAAAACTTAGGGAAAAGCAAACAGTCAGTACTTAACAGAGATGCAAGGAAAACCACAATGAATTAATTTTTCTGAATACAATGAATCGACTTACTATTAGTCTACAACAAAATAATTCTAGGAATTAATCACATGGGTACAGTATTGAAATAGGACTGGGAATGGTTCAAGTTTTGGCTTTGTCACTTACTGGTGGTATTACTCCAGAGGAAGTATATACAGATCTGGGCATTCAAAAAGGTGTAATTAATGTTCACTCAAAAATGGTTAAAGCTTCAAAGTCTATAAAAAGTAATATGTAATTCCATTAAAATGGGAATTTGAATTATGCCTGTGTCAGGCAGAGTATGGCAGTAAGTCACTTAATAAATGGGTGAGCAACGACTGCATAAACTGGGAACAACTAAAACAATAAATATTAGATAAAAGAATTCTTGATACAGTTGAGGGGAAAAAAAAGTGATGCTCCACAGTGATTTCCCTAATCTCAGAAGAGAAAAATTAATAAGCCCGTAAGTAAGTTTACATTTACTTTTTGGTAGTAACTAGCAACACCTATTTATTTTAGCCAAGTACTTACTTTTGGAGGTTTCTGCCTGACTCTCGTTTCTTACTCTATCACACTTTGGATAACAGACTAAGGCTATGTTTGGATTTATTATTTTTCTAACCCTGAAGAACAGTATAAAATATGAACTAAACTTTGTGATTTATTCAAAGGTAAACATAATTTTTCATATTTTAGTTTAGCTTTTCAATTATAGTGATTATCATTATGAAACACAATGCATGTCATAAATTATCCACTTCAAGAAAAAGTAAACAGGCCTGTCTATTCTCATATGTCCATATGCCATGGGTTTCCACCATGAACTTTCGTCCTTCAGTGCTAAGAAAGTTAGTCTAATAATTAATTCTGCTTAATGTTAAGAATTTATTGAAGGGACAAAGAGCAAGAGAGTCACCTGTGCTAATGCAAAAGTATGCCAGGCTCCAAATCTAAACCACAAACTGACTGGTTATATTTCCTGTGCAGGATACAAGGGGCATCAAATATTCAGATCCAGCCTATGGTAGAAGCTGTATACTTACAAGTTGGAGTACAGTTCATGTCTGCTTAATAAACCCAGAAGCTGATAAGACAGAAGTGATAATATCTTTTCTTTTGACTCAAGCCTGTCCTGTGTGTGTTAAAAGTCTGTTTAATCTTTTTTAGAAAACAGAATGACCTTCTTTCCCACTGTGCTTCAGAATACCAAATAACTTATTTGTATACATGTAACATTGCTTATTATTTTTTAATTGTATAACTCAAAAATTAATACTCAGTTCTAAGCAGGCAACTGCTATTTATGCTCTAAGGTGACATTACTTGCTTAATTTTGTTTCCTGTATGTACTACTGGCCACTTTCTTCATAATACACTCATTCTTCTCACCCAAAATAGTCTCTCAGAAGAAAATCTGGGTATTCATGACATGAGAGTATGTTTCAGCATTATTGTTAATCCATTTCCCCAAAATATTCCACGATGAAGGTCAAAGAAAAGAAAATTTATGTTGTAAATTAGTTAAAAAGAAGATAAAGTTAGAAATCTAAGACTGCTCAGTAAATCTGATAAAAGCTAGAAAAAAAAAGCAGGAAAAAGATTATGGAAGGGTAGTTATAGGAAAGAGTAAGTAAATACGAAAAATATAGAAGTCAAACACTGGGAAAGAGGAGAATACGAAGGTTAGAAGGTTTAGTGTTCTACAACATTTTACAAATGTCTATATAATATTTGGACACTAAGTATACCTTACGTTAGAAAAGTGTTTTTCACAGAAACCAGTGTTTTCAAAGTACCAGGAAAGCTTTAAAACCAATCAACCAAAAACAAAAACAAACCCTCCTTTGAAGCCTTTTCAAAGTGTACTTTTTGTAATACAAATAGCTAATTCTGAATTTAACTGCTTTACAATTTCAGATTTTATAACAGATTTTCATAAAATAAGGTGCACATGTAAAATGTCATCATTTAGAAAGAGTAATCTGAAATTTGGTATTACATGTGAAAATAACAACCCTTCAGTAAAACTCTCAAGTACATCTTGGAATCACTAAGTATTCCTTTATCACCACAGGCTAGTTAGAAAATAACTGATAAATCTTTACATGAGACATCAAGCATAGGCCCTTATGAACTCATTATAAAAACAGTTTAGGTGGGCACACAGATACTTATGACTCATCCTGTACTAAAAATTCCCTTTTCCCTTCTATAGTTCCTTTACATGGTTCTATCATTATCATAGAACGATTACGATAGTTCTATAGCTCCATCTATTATAGAGAATAGACTGAAGTTGTCAACTAAGTCTCAAAGAGCAGGAAAAGCAGTCAATAATTGCAATAGAACAAAATAGAACTACTTAAAAAACAAAAAGACCAAAATAAATCATTTTTGAATTCACTGTTCAAGTAGTTTAGGTTGAAGCTTTCTGGGCAGTTGGCCTAGACAGATATAGCATATTAAAGGATACTAATGCAAATTATATATAATAATTTTCTATTCCCTATAATTAAATGGTAGGAGTCCCCAGCATATTAATAACATTTCCAAAACAAATTAGTATGCAGTGTAATAGTAGCTGCTATCAGAATGGGTTTCTCTGTCCTACCTCACCCGATCCCATGGAGACAACTTCACAGATACTACCTCCACTCACTCAATTTTACCTATAATTCAGCCTATTTAAAAAATTTAAAGAACCTGACAAGCAGAAAGCACAAAAAATTGGGTCAAAGAAATAGAATTTTATGTCTGTCGGTAACTTCATTTTGAGGGAAAAAAACCTACTCTGTTATTACTACTTCTCTGAAATCATTTGAACTAAAATTAAGACCTGTAAAAACAATAAACTGATTACAATTTCAGAGTTTACAAACAAGTAGAAAGATATACATTATTTAAAAGTTTGCAACAGTAACACATAGAAACGTGTTTTCTCAGTTTTATCCCTTTATACTATTACTAAGTGCTTTTTCCTATGTACACCTTCTAATCGAAACATCACACATGCAACAAATTAAAAGATAAGCCGAAGAAATAAGTTTGCTATTTATTTACAATTGCTATTTCATTATGAAATTAACATAATACAGAATTTTAGATTTCCTCTTTAAAATGAAGTATTTTTTACCAAAAGGTAGTACTTAAATAGAGTACTCTGAAGACTTTGGAGGTCTGTCCAAGAATCATTCCTCCACTACAAGGACATGGTATATCATCATCTCAAGATTTTTAAGTTGACACAGATAAAGGAATGTTATTTTAATATACTCAACATAAAAATGTAATTTTGGCCAGGCGTGACAGCTCATGCCTGTAATCCCAGTACTTTGGGAGGCCAAGGCGGGTATATCACACAAAGCCAGGAGTTTGAGACCAGCCTGGTCAACACAACGAAACCCTCACTCTACTGAAAATACAAAAATTAGCCAGGTGTGGTGGCACATGCCTGTAATCCCAGCTACTCAGTAGGTTGAAGCATGAAAATTGCTTGAACCAGGGAGGTGGAGGTTGCACTGAGCTTAGATTGTGCCACTGTACTCCAGACTGACAGCGAGACTGTTTCAAAAAACAAAAATAATAATAAATAAAATAAAGTAACTTTAATGCATCTCTTTTTAATCTGAAATTTTTAATTTGAAATCTTACTCTCTTAAATTTTGGCTTTTAATATAACACAACTTCCCACAAATTCTGGTAGCAAATTGAACTAAAAATGCAGCATATGTTTCACATACCTTTTTGAGATGTCCTAGTCTAAGTTTGAAAATTTCTTCCTGTTCATGATATTCTGCCAAAGTCAACCTGTCAAAAATGAAATTTTAATTCTACATATTGAGATTAATACTTAGTTTATTAACAACTAGCAAAATATAAAAATCAAATGGAAATACTAAAATGTGGACAACTTTAAGCCCAAAATGTATGAGACAAAAATCCTTTGAGATATTCTTCAGAATATATTTAATACTTTTAGATGAAACAGTTAACTAATTCTACAATGATTTAATGAGTACCATTTATCAAGTGATGTTCTAGAATTTATATCCTAAGGATACAGTGAAAAACAAGACAATTTCTCCTTACATAGTAGTATGAGCTTACACTCTGGAGGTAAGCAAGTATTAAAAAAACCCATGTGATGAAATAAATAAGTTTAAGTAACAGTAAGTGTCATGAAGAAAGCAAAAAAGGATGGTATGGTAATGACTAATCGCATTACGTTAATTTGGACTGGGTGTTAGAGAGGTGACCTTCATCTAAATACAAAAAGACAATCACGAGAGGACTCTGGGGAGTATATTCTAGACATGAGTTATAGAAAGTTTAAAACTCTAAGATGAAAATAGTCTTGGCATATAAATAGAAGACAAAAAATGGGAGTAAATTAGATATAGTCAAAAAGGTTGTGAGTATTAGGAGAAGCAACCTGGGGAGACATACTATGTATAGATTTGTAGGCAAAGTAAAGAATTTCAGTTTTACTCTAAGAGTAATGGGAAATCACTGCAAAGGGAGTCAGTTCAGTTTGGGCAGTTCTTAAAAAGAGAAAAAAAACAAAGACATTTTTCCTTTCCCTGCTTCAGTGTGTTGGGAGTAAATAGGAAAGATTTAAAAAATGCTAAAACTTTAGTCAAAGTACTAAATCCTGGCCAGGTGCAGTGGCTCACACCTATAATCCCAGCACTCTGGGAGGCTGAGGCAGGTGGATTACTGGAGCTCAGGAATTCCAGACCAGCTTGGGCAACATAGCAAAACCCTGTCTCAATCTCCCCTCACCCCCAAAAAAGCACTATATTCTTATACGCCAAATATAGAGACAGGGTCTTGCTTTGCTGTCCAGGTTGAATTTGAACTCCTGGGCTCAGGTGACTCTCCTGCCTCAGTGTCCCAAGTAGCTGGGAGTACAGGTGTACACCACCATGCCTACCTACTTCAAAATCTTAATAAAAATAGATACAGGACTTTAAGTCTTCAAAGTGCTTCATGGTTATCTTATTATTTCAAATATTCTTACCTAACTTTGAAAAATAATCAGTTTAATATATGCAGAACCATAATACGAACTTATTAGGGTCTCGCTCTGTTGCCCAGGCTGGAGTGCAGAAACCATGATCTCAGCTCACTGCACCTCCACCTCCCAAATTCAAGCAATTCTCCCACCTCAGCTTCCAGAGTAGCTGGGACTACAGGCATATGCCACCATGCCTAGCTAAGTTTTATATTTTTAGTAGAGATGGAGTTTTGTCATGTTGGCCAGGCTGGTCTTGAATGCCTGGCTTCAAGTGATCCACCCACCTCAGCCTCCCAAAGTGCTGGGATTACAAGTGTGAGCCACCACAACCGGCCCATACCCCAACTTTTAAAGAATAGCTCTTATCTATCATATTCAAGCCCTTGTTTAATTTACTTATGTGTTCTGAGGTTATTTCATTAAGCTCCTAACTCAGGTGTGACCTGTTTGGTTTCAGTCCCTCAGCAACACTTAGCATAAATGCTGTTTCCCTTTAGCTAGATGCTAATTATATTTACTAATTCTAAAAAAGGAGTATTCAAAGGAAATAAACAAAAACAAGAAATTGGGTTGGCATTCCACTCGCAACATCTTAAGAGCCAAAAAAAATTAAAATTTTAAATTAAATCTCTCTACCCAGTTTTAGGGTGACACAACTACTGGATTTTATTACACTGAATATAGCAATAGTTGATAGATGTAGCAGTTGCTTATAGTAAATTTAGAGAATTAAATGCTAGAGTGTGAATGTAGATGAAGTGAGAGAGGGAGGAGGAGGAATGTGATACTAAAGAAAATGAGGTTGAAAACTAAAATGTATAATATCTCAACTAATCTAGAAAAGAAAAGATGTAGGAATGTTGGCAAAAAGCTTCTGGATATGGGTATAGGTTTACGCCACTAGAGGAAGTTTCCCTGTATAACAAGATCATAAATTCATATTCTTAAAGTATGGTTTTAGGTCCACTAGTAGGTCATAGGATGGGCTCATAACTAATTTTTAAAAGATATTTAAATTTGTTTTGTTTCTATATAGAAATTCTATACTAAGATTTTTACTGAATTACAAAACAGCTAAAATTTGGCATATCTTAAACCAAAATTAGTACATGACTTGAGTTACTTGAAATTTTTGTCCTACCAAGAGGTCTGGCTATCAGATATAACTGCAAAGTTCCTACACATGCACATGGCTACACTTTGTGCAATTTGAGAGAAATGGTATTTTGTTGTTGTGTGTTGTTACGCTACTCACTTTCCAGGGCAGTGATTCTTACCATTTTACAATCACAGAGATCTTAAAAAACAAAACAAAACAAAAATCTGAAGGAAGTTATAAATACTTTTCCCAGAAAATTTTACATATATATAATTTTGGGATTCACAAATCTCAGTAAGAGTTCCTCTGCCAGCGTCTTGTCTTGCCAATTAGAATGCAAACCCCCAAATGACAAAAGAGCCATTTCTTACATTTTTCTCTCCATCTCCTACTAGGAAGTAGTAGGGATTATTAATATCTGACACACTGTAGCTTCTTCGATAATCTCTGTCCATTTGTATTAATAAAAAACGCTTTTAAAGAAATCTACGTATTTAGATAAAAGAAATTGGGAACAATCTTCTTTAAAGAAACAGGATTTTAGACACAGAATGAAAAGAGCTAAGCTAGGATAATGTTCACATCAGTGGCTTTTAATTATCAATACTTTTATGTGTGTAAGATGCTTTTAAAAAAACCTGCCCTCTCAAACAATTCAGTCGGTTAAATTACTTGGCAAATCTTTTATTCATAGATAAGGCAAAGATATAGTCCATCTCTTCCCATAGACTCACATCTGATGAGTTAAATTATTAATATTTTTATTATACACACACAAAAATATTTTTATTATGCACACATAACAATGTTATATTTTTATTATGCACACATAATATTTTAAAAGTTAACAAATTTAAACCCCAAACATAGGACTTGACTCCTGATAATCTTCCATACTAAGTCTGAGTAAATGAAAAATTTTTAAAGTGTTCTAAAAGAGTTCAACAGAAACGTGGGGTGACAGTATTTAAAAAGTTAGTAGAAATACCAAAAAAACAGGGAATACTCATTTTAAACAAATTTGGTGTTAAATGTCTTAAAGACATTCTGTTTAAGCAAAGAATTAACCTGAAGCCTCAAAAAACACAAGCTATGGTAAACAGACTGTTAGAGGCACTTAAACAAAAATTAGCCAGATGTGGTGGTGCACACCTGTAGTCCCAGCTACTCAGGAGGCTGAGGCATAAGAATCACTTCAACCTGGGAGGCAGAGGTTGCAGTGAGCTGAGATTGTGCCACTGCACTCCAGCCTGGGAAACAGAGCGAGAAAAGAAAACAACAACAACAACAAAAAACCCAAGAAAACTAACATCATAGTTAGGGTGAAAATGGAAAGATTTTCTCCTAATATCAGGAAAAAGACAAGGACATCTACTTCCATCACTGGTATTCAATATTGCACTGGAAGTCCTACCAGAGCAGTCAGTAAGGAGAAGAAATAAAACACATCTAAATTGCAAGCTAAGAAATAAAACTGTATTTGCAGATGACATGCCTTTATATTTAGAAAATCCCCAGAAAATGCACGAGAAAAAAATCACTAGAACAATAAATAAATTTGACAAAGCGGCAGGATAGGAGAGCAATACACAAAAATCAGTTACTTCTATATACCAGCAATGAACAACCTGAAAAGGATATTAAGGAAGCTATTACATTTACAATAGCATCCAAAAGAATATAATACTTAAGAATCAATTTAACCCAGGAGGTGAGAGACTTGCCTACTAAAAACTACAAAATATTGCTAAGGATTTCAAAAAGAGCTAATCAGATGAAAAGATATTCTATGTCCACAGATTGGAGACTTCCAAAAAGTATGGTACTGCCATAAGAATACACATATATACCTATGAAACAGATTTGAATTCAGAAATAAACCCAAAAATCTATGGCCAGTTGATTTCTGACAAGGGTACCAAGACCATTCAATGAGGAAAGAATAATCTCATCAACAAATAATGGGGGGACAACTAGAGAACCACATGCAAAATAATGGAGTAGGACCCCTACTTCACTCTGTGTACAAAAATTAACTGAAAATGAATGACCTAAATATGGGAACTAAAACTATTAGAAGATAACACAGGAGGCTGGGCACAATGGCTCATGCCTGTAATGCCAGCATTTTCAGAGGCTGAGGCAGGTGGATCACTTGAGGCCAGGAGTTCAAAACCAGCCTAGCCAACATGGTGAAACTCTGTCTACTAAATATACAAAAATTAGCCAGGTGTGGTAGTGGGCACCTGTAATTCTAGATACTTGAGAGGCTGAGACGGGAGAATCACTTGAACCTGGGAGGCAGAGGTTGCAGTGAGCTGAGATCGTGCCACTGCACTCCAGCCTGGGTGACAGAGCGAGATCCTGTCTCAAAACAAAACAAAACAAAACAAAACAAAACAAAACAAAGGAAAGATAACAGAGGGGTAAATCTTCATGACTATAAATTTGGCAATAAATTCTTAGGTTTGTCACCAAAAGCATAAGCAACAACAGTAACAAAAGTCAACAAAATACAATTCATAAAAATTAAAAACATTAAAAATTAAAACAACTGAATTCATGGAGATAGAGAGGATGACGGTTACTAGAGCCTGGAAAGGACTGTGGGAAGGGGGGCAAAAGGTGGGGTTGGTTAATGGGTGCAAAAACATAGAATGAGTAAGATCTAGTATTTGGTAACACAAGAGGATGACCACAGTCAACAAAACTATATTGCACATTTAAAAATAACCAAAAGAGTATAATTGGAATGTTTATAACAAAGAAATGATAAATGCTTGAGGTCATGGATACCCCATTTACCCTGATGTGATTATTACACATTGTATGCCTGTATCATAATATATCATGTACCCCATATATTGGTTGGTAGGCCTACTTTCAGTGGCAAAAACCACAATTACTTTTGCACCAACCAAACACTATGTACTCATGAAAATAAAAAACTCCTGTACATCAAAGGATATTATCAAAAAAGTAAAAGACAACTTACAGAATAGCAGAAAATATCTGCAAATCATGTATCTGGTAACAGTTTAGTATCCAGAAAACAAAAAAAAGGAAAAAAATACCTCCCACAACAACAAAATAACAAACAGTCTCGTGAAAAAATGAGCAAAAGACTTGAACAGACATTTCTCCAAACAAGATATATAAAGTCCAGCAAACACATTAAAAGATGTTCAACAACATTAAGTCATTAGGGAAATGCAAATCAAAATCACTGTGAGATATCACTTTACACCCACCAGGATGGTTATGATTTTTAAAATGGGAAAGTAAAAAGTATTGTCAAGGATGTAGAAAAACAGGGATAACTCTCATGCTGGTGGGAATGTAAAATGGTGCCGACTGGAAAATAAGCAGTTCTTGAACCAGGTAAGACATAGAATTACCATAATACCCAGTATTAGATAGATAAAACAAAACATAAGTCCACACAGAAACTTGTAGACAGGTGTTTATAGCAGAACTATTTATAATAACCTAAGGGTGGAAACAACCTAAAGGTCCATCAATGAATGCATGGATAAACAAATTGTGCATAATCACACAATGGAATATTGTTCAGCCATAAAAAGAATGAAGTACTGCTACATGCTACAACATGAATATACCTTGAAAACTTATACTAAGTAAAAGACACAAAAGGTCACATAAGGTATGAGTCATTTTATATAAAACATTCAGAAGAAGTAAATACACAGAGAAAGAAAACTGATTATTTGCTACTGGAGGTGAGAAGAGAAAGGGCTAGGGAGTGATTATTTAATGTGCACAGAGTGTTCCTCTGGGCTAAGGGAACAGTTTTGAAACTAGAGAGAAGTGATGGTACATAACACTGTGAATGTACTAAATGCCACTGAACTGTACATTTTAAAATGGTTATTTGTATGTTATATGAATTTAACCTCAATTTAAAAATGTTATCACTAGGAAAAAAAATAGGTGATTGTGCGAGGGATGAAACTAGTTTTCTTATGAAGAGTCCAAATGTTCACAACATAATAGAAATTGAATTGCAATTACTTACACTTCGTATAAGTATAATGGCTGATATGGTTTGGCTGTGTCCCCACCCAAATCTCATCTTGAATTCCTACATGTTGTGGGAGGGACCTGGTGGGAGGTAACTGAATCATGGGGGCAGGTCTTTCCCATGCTGTTCTCATGATAGTGAGTAAGTCTCACAAGATCTGATGGCTTTAAAAAGGGGAGTTTCCGGCTGGGCTTGGTGGCTCATGCCTGTAATCCCAGCACTTTGGGAGGCCGAGGCGGGCAGATCACCTGAGGTCAGGAGTTCCAGACCAATCTGCCCAACATGGCGAAACCTCGTCTCTACTAAAAATACAAAAAATCAGCCAGGCTTGGTGGCAGGCACCTGTAATCCCAGCTACTCAGGAGACTGAGGTGGGATAATTGCTTGAACCCGGGAGGCAGAGATTGCAGTGAGCCAAGATCATACCACTGTACTCCAGCTTGGGCAAAGAGCAAAACTCCGTTTCAAAAAAAAAAAAGGGCGGGGGGGAGTTCCCCTATACAAGCTCTCTTCTCTTGTCTGCCACCATGTGAGACATGCCTTTCACCTTCTGCGATGATTGTGAAGCCTCCCCAACCATGCGGAACTGTTAGGTCCATTACATCTCTTTCTTTTGTAATTTGCCCGGTCTCAGGTATGTCTTTATTAGCAGCGTGAAAGCGAACTAATACAATGACTTACACACCAAGTACCACTGTGATATGCAAAATAATGGCCAAAGATTTCCATATTCTAATCCTTGAGACATGTGAATATGTCAGGTTATAAATAAAAGGAAAATGAAAGGTACCAGGTGAAATTAAGGTTGTTTATCAGCTGACAGTAAAACAGGGAGTTATTCTGCATTACCCATGTGTGCCCAGAAGGAAGGGGCGGCAGTGTCAGAAACAGAGTAATATGACAGGTGAGACATTTGACTGGCCGCAGCTAGCTATGAAGATAGAAGGGGATCATAAACCAAAAAATGTAGGCAGCTTTTAGAAGCTGGAAAAGGCAAGGAAATGGATTCTCTTCTAGAGTCTCTAGAAGTAACATAGCCCTGTTAACAACTTGATTTTAGCCCAAATGAAACCCATTTCAGATTTGTGATTGCTAAAACAGTAAGGTAATATTTCTGTTGGTTAAAGCTAGGTTTGTGTGATTTGTTACAGCAGCCATAAGAAATTACTGCAGATCTTCTTACCTGGAAGTAGAATGCTCCTTTAATAAATACCTAAAAACACAGAAATGGCTTTGGAATTGGGCAGGGGACAGAAGCTAGAATTTTAAGAAGCTTAATTTCTAAAGGCTGGGCACAGTGGCTCACATCTGTAATCCCAGCACTTTGGGAGGCCAAGGCGGGTGAACTGCTTGAGGTCAGGAGTTCGAGACCAGCCTAACCAGCACGGTGAAACCCCGTTTCTATTAAAAATACAAAATTTAGCCTGACATGGTGGTGGGTGCCTATAAATCCCAGCTATTTGGGAGGCTGAGGCAGGAGAATCACTTGAACCCAGAGCGAGACTCTGTCTCAAAAAAAAAAAAAAAAGGCATAATTTCTAAAAAGTTTAAACAGGTTGTTAGCAGGCTAAACGTTATCAAAAAGAAAGGATAACCTAGAGAACAGAACCCTGTGCCCAAAAGGCAGAAGCACAGAAGATCACCATAAAAGATTATTCTCAGACCTTGAAACCAAATGGAGTTTGGATGGATTTTGAAATTCCACAGGAATGTCCTTCCACTGCTTTGTGTTTTGAACATGAATGTCTATAAACTGTCATCAGATACCTGTCCCACCATCGTACTGTGGGAGGAGGTAACTTGCTTCTCGAGTTTCAGTTTCACAGATGAAGAAAAACACTGTGTCTCAAGGTGGATCATACCCCAAGTCCCACTCATATCTGATTTATTTGATGAGAATTGGAACTTTGAGCTTATGGGATTTAGATGCGACGTTAGACTCTGAGCCAACACTGTAACGGGGATGTTGAAATAGGGTGAATATACTCTGCATGTGAAAAGGATGTGAATCTTTGGGGGTCAGGAGGCAGAATAACGGTTTTCCCAAAATGCCATATCCTAGTCTTTAAAAAAGCTAGATTTAAATGGGATCAAGTTTGCTCATCAGCTGATTTTAAGATAATTACTTTGAATAATACAGCTATGCACACACAGAGGAAAGGAAAAAAAACATTTTATTTGCAGGAAACTAGTAAAAGTCACAGAAAAGGTAATATCTGAACTAAATTAAAAAGAAGCAACAGCAGGAGGACAGGAAGAAGAAATGGGGTATTAAGAGGCATGATGGGCCCGACGCAGTGGCTCACGCTTGTAATCCAAGCACTTTGGGAGGCTGAGGTGGGCGGATCACCTGAGGTCGGGAGTTCAAGACCAGCCTGACCAAATGGAGAAACCCCATCTCTACTAAAAATACAAAATTAGCCAGGCATAGTGGCGCATGCCTGTAGTCCCAGCTACTTGGGAGGCTGAGGCAGGAGAATCACTTGAACCCAGGAGGCAGAGGTTGCAGTGAGCCAAGATCCTGCCATTGTACTCCAGCCTGGGCAACAAGAGTGAAACTCCATCTCAAAACAAAAAAAACAAAACCAAAAAAAACAGAGGCATGATGACCCAAGAGTAAAGCATGGATATACTCAAGCAAAAGTAAAAAGGAATGCAAACTGCAGATTAAGGAAATATCTTCTGCTTGTTTGCTAAGACTTTTAGTCACAGATCAATGTTAAATTTTATCTAATTTTTAAAAAATTTTTGTTATCTATTAAGATAATCATATGATTTTTCTGTTTATGTGAAAAATTACATATGTTTTTCTAATCTATAACCAACCTTGCACATCCAACGTAAACCCAACTTGGGGTCTTCATAAACTAGCATTTTTATATCTTATACGTTGTGTTTGTGTTACTATTTAAGATTTGTGCATTTATTTTTACAAGTGAGATTTGCCTGTAACTATCGTTCTTGTACAGTCTTTGTTGAGTTTTGGCATCAAGACTATGTTGACCTCAGAAAACAAGCGGGAAGCATATCTACCTTTCCTGTTCTTCAGAACAGTTTGTAAAAGACTGGCACTATTTCATCCTTAAATCGTTGATAGAATTCTTAGATGCAGTTATTTGGACCTGCAGTTTTTCTCTGAATAAATGTTTAAATTACAGATTCATTTTATTTAATAGTTACAGAACTATGTGGATTTTGTTTCTTCTACCGTCAGTTTTGGTTCCATTGCATTTTTCTGTAAATGGGTCAATTTCACAAAGATTTCAAATTTAAGCAATTTATAATGTGTTGTTTCCTTTAAATATCTAGAAACAGTAGTAAATATTCCTTTTTTCATTCCTGGGGATGGCTGTGGTTTTTAAAAATCAGTCATATTAGTTTTATTAGGTTTTTCCCCCTACAAAAATTTTAACACTATTTTTAAAAAACTGGTTTATTCTCTGTACTGTATGTGTGTTTCCTATACTAATTTCTGCTATCTTTTCCCTCTTCCTTCTTTGGTTAATTCTCTTGCTCATTTTCTTTGTAACTTATTGAAATAGATGCTTAGTTTGTAAAGTTTTAGTTTTTCTCCTTTTCTTACATACGTAACTAAAGCTGTAATTTTCTCTCTAGATACTGTTTCATATGCATTTTATCAATTTTGTTATGTAGCACTTTCACTAACATTCATTTCAAAATATTTTGAAATATTTCACTTCAAAATTTTCCCTCATTTTCATTGGCACTTTTCCACTAGCTTTTAGTTACAGATTTCTAGCTAATTGCATTGTGGTCAGGGAACATATATAATGATTTCAATCATTTTCATCCCAGAGTTCTACCAAATGACTAAAGGAGAAAGAATACCACTCTTACATAAACTTTCAATCCTGTGAAATTTGCCGAGGCTTGCTTTATAACCAATTTTTTTTTATAGTCAATATTTTTAAAAAAACATGTATTCTGCAGATGTTGGGAGGTATTCTATATATGTCCATTGGTTCAAGTTTGTCAATCCCATTAAATCTTGCATGCACCGCGTGTTTTGTTTTGTAGTGCTTTATTTTTATCTACATGTTCTATTTCTAAGAAATGTGTTTAAATCTCCCATTATGATTTGTGGATCTATTATTATGTTTTTTATTTATCTTGAGGCCATGTTATCACATTTATATACATTTAGAATTATTACAGCTTCCTAGTGATTTCAACCGTTTATAACAACCATTTCATTTCTAATAATTTTTTTTTTTGCCTTACATTTTACTGTGTCTGATTTAATATAGCTTTCTTTTGGTTGGTGTTTGCCTGAATATTCTCTCTAAACTGTTATTTCAATATGTCTTTTTTCCCTCTGGCTGCTTAAGAATTTTTTTCTCTTTGCCTTAATTTTCTGAAATTTCACTATGATGTGTATAGATGAGTTTTCTCTTGTTTTTGAGACAGAGGTCTCGCTCTGTCACCCAGGCTGGAGTGCAATGGCATGAACATGGCTCACTGCAGCCCTGGCCTCCCAGGCTCAAGTGATCCTCCCACCTCAGTCCCCCAGGTAGCTGGGAGTACAGGCTCATGCCTGGCTAATTTTTGCATTTTTAGTAGACATGGGTTTTTGCCATGTTGTCAAGGGTGGTCTTCAACTCCTCAGCTCAAGCGATCCACCCACCTCGGCCTCCTAAAGTGGTAGGATTACAGGTGTGAGCCACCGCACCCGGCCTCGGTGAGTATTTCTTTTCATTCACACCCCCTGGAATTTGCTGGCCTTCATGAACCTGTAGACTGATCTTGTTCATCTGTTTCTGAAATACTCTTAGTTATCTCATCCTCAAATACTGCTTATGCTGCATATAGAATTGTTTCTCTAAAGACTATCAGCTATCAGCTACCTTGTCAATAGTAATAATGCAAGTCAGAAGACAGTAAAAATCGTCTCTTCAAATAACTACTAACCCAAAATTATAAAACCAGTAAAGATATCCAAAGAATGAAGGCAAAATAATTTTCAGACAAACAAAAATTGGTCACTACCAACAGACCCCTCTGTAATGTTCCCTTACAAAGGAAAATCTGTAAAGGGTATTCTTGGCAGAAAGATCTTATGAGAGGTATAGAAATAAGTAAAGAGCAAAAAATAAATATGTGGATAAAGTCCATATGAACATTGACTAAGCAAGACAATAATGATGTCCTACAGGTAGACACATGTATATATGTGTGGTCTGAGTATAGAAACATGCTCATACTGTAATAGAGAAAAAGAATAAAATAAACAAAAACTGGTCAATGCAATAAAAGGTGAGAAAAAAAAAAAAAGAAAAAGGGATGGAGACTAGGTAGGATAAACAGAAGCATAAAGAAAGACCAAATTTAAGCCCCAATAAGTAATGACATGAATTGAAAAATAGATTAAATTCTCCAATGAAAGAAAGATTTTTCAGACAGGATTTTAAAAAAATCAGTTATACATTTGTCAAAACCCACAGAAGGTACAACATCAACAGTGAACTCTAATGTAACTATGGATGATAATGGTATGTCTATGCAGGTAGCATATGTGCCACTGTGGTGTGGGATGTTGACAGTAGAAGTGAATGTACCTGTGTGGGGACAGGGGTTAGGTATATGGGAACTCTGTAGTTTCTGCTCAATTCTACTGTACTACTGCCCTACTACTACTCTAAAAAATAAGTTTATTAATTTTAAAAAGAGATAAGTAGTCCACTAATAACGTTATATAAAACATATCCCTTTTTTTTGAGACAGGGTCTTCCTCTGTTACTCAGGCTGGAGGGGAGTGTAATCACAGCTCACTGCAGCCTTAACCTCCCGAGTTCAAGCAATTCTCCCACCTCAGCCTCCTGAGAAGCTGGGACTATAGGTACATACCACCACGTCCGGCTAATTTTTTATTTTTTGGTAAAGATGGGGTCCTGCTATGTTGCCCAGACTCGTCTCAAACTCCTAGGTTCAAGTGATCCTCCCGCCACAGCCTCCCAAAATGCTCGGATTACAGGGCTGAGCCACCACACCCAGCCTAAAATACATTCTTAATTTAAAATTAAAGCTATAATGGAAAAGCAATGACCTCTAAAACTTCAATAATATAAAATATGAGGTAAAATATTACTTACTCTTAACTTTGCAGTCACCCTCTGTGAAACATGCAACATGTAAGTCTAATAGATATAACCAAAGCTTAATTTGAAATATATTTTAAGTAAAAATCTTGGTTAA